GGTGACCAGCGGCATCCTGCTAATGGCGTCAGCCTCGGACGAATATACCCCGTAAGCTCCTCCTGCAGTTTCGGATTTGGGGTTTCGGGTTTAGGGGTTTAGATGTTTAGGGTGTAGGGTTCAAACTGCAGTTCCGGATTTATGGGTTTCAGATTTGCAGCACGTGAACTTGAAGGTCCAGCTGTGCGGGATATACTCGCTTTGCAATCTGAAGACTGTTGCCGTTCTTGCGTTGTTTCTTGTTGTTGCCGTTGTTGGTGGTGGTGATGGCGGGTTTGGCTGTTTCGCATGTGGTGCACAGTGGCTGATTTGCCCTTCACTTCCCATCGCACCAGGAGAAACTTAGTCGGGTCCAAAAAGGCCTGTGATCCCAACTAGAGACCCGGCACCGTTCTTGAAATGAGGCTCTGAGGAAACAACCCCACGTGAAATCTGGGGTTAGGGTTCGGGGCTTCCGACAAATTCCCAGAATATCTGCAACAGAAGACGGACACTTTGCTCGGAGTCTTCGGGAATTTCGGAAAGCATACCCGTTCTCCGGTCCCCTGTCCTCGATGGGACAGATGTTTTGTTGAATTTGACCCAAGATTCTCAAAGCTATATAATACTATACTATCCTATAATACATAATCTCATATCATATAAAAACAGCATGGTATTCTGAATTCTTGTAGACTGCGTATTATAAAGTATGATAGCAAAGCCCAGGACCAACGCTATTGGGCCGCCCGGATCCACGAGTTGGGCTCCGGCTGCGAGGTGGGCACCCAGCCGAGCTACAGTTGATCATAGCTGCGCCTTTTAATGGGCCTTACAACCGTACTTCAGAGTTTAGGGTTCAGGTTTTAGGGTTTAGGGGTTTAGAAAAGCTGCTTGTTCAAGCTGTCAGTGCGAAGGTCCTGCACACCTTCCTCACAGGTTTTGCAATGTAGATTTCGAGTGTGTTCTGTGTCAAGGCATCACCTCCCGTTCGAATCCTACCCCGCCAGGTCGCGAGATTGGAACTGTCGTGGGACTTCGCTGTTGGGAAGTTTGGACGAAGGGCATCGATCCCAAAACCTGAAATCCAGAACCCTGGGCCTTAACTGAATACTGGCGTGGTAACCCTAAACCCGAACCCCTGAACCCTAAACCCTAGACCCCAAACCCAAACCCCTGAACCCTAGACCCTAAACCCCACACAAGACAACGGGGACCTCAGTCGCAAGCTCAAGATGCGTCCTCGGTGCCCCATGGCCCCATGGCTCCAGTCGCTGCAGCTTCGACGGAGGAGACGTTCGGGCTCTTAAAGGGTTTAGGGTTTAGGGTTTCTGTAAACTGTAAAGGATACCGCAAGGGTTTATATAGGGTTTAGGGTGTAAAGGAGGTTAGACTCCCATAGAGCTATGGTGAGATTGTTCCCTATGGCCCGAAAAACAAATTTTCTAGTCGTTCAGGCCCTGACGTGAGGTTTTGGAGGTTGGGGCTGAAGGGTTTAGGATTTGGGGGTACAGAGTCTGACTGGATCTCGTTTTATGTTGGACCTTCTTTGAGGGCGTAGGGCCCACCATACATAAAGAGATGCAAGCTTCTGCATGGTGGTGTAGTGCTGGTGCTGGGGGGTAGTCGTTATCGTCCTTACTTGTGCAAGCATGTTCGTTTCACACGAGTGCAAGCGTATAGACGAAACCCAGTTTGTATTTGTTCTAGTGTCTTGCGGGCTTGGAGGAAGTCTTCGCTGGAGCCCAATACTTCAATACCCAGAAGTGCACGTCCGAAAGAGGTTTGATCAATTTTCTCTGAGGTTTAGGGGTGTCGGTTTTTGGCTGACGGAAAGTGGTGTCGAATGCTCAGGGTTGGTTTTATTCGGAAGCCGTACCTGATTTCAATCCAGTTCTCACAGACTAACAAGGGAACCATAAACCTCTACTTTAAAGAGAGAGTACAGTCACGAATCACTGTTGACCTTATGCTAGGTCACAGGGCCACAGGGCTCAATGTTGCGCATGAAAAAGATGCGTCGGCTTCTGTAGACCAGCCGACGCAAGTATCTACAACCCTACTTCTTGTCTGAATGCTATGCAGGGTTTCTACAATCCCGCATCTTCTACATGTTCTACACTGTTCCAGGACATTCCCAATCCCAGAACCCCATGTCCCCGAAATTATCAGCCCTTTTCCGCAAGCTTCTACAGGACTACTAGACTTCCAATCCCTAAGCTTTAACCCTTCCACTTCAGGCTCGACATCTGACATGCCACGCCCGTATTCCCAAAAACCCCTTTAGCGTCTGGGGCTTTGCTTGAGACTTGCAACATCTGCAGTCCTACACCCTCTGCCCCGAGCTAACCCGAAATGTTCAGGAATCTAAAGCCACCAACTCTCAACTGCCGCCGTGGAAGCTCCGAGCCCGAAAACTCATAGAATAAGTCAAATAGGCCTCATAGAACCCCTTGTAGTGAAGTAACCTCTATAGAGCCTTACACAGCTACCTGCAGGATATCCCTTACAGCAACCTCTATAGTATCCAGTATACAGTCGCACTTCAAGGATCCCTTAATGCCCCTTATTGCTGGCCGACCCTTCTGTGCCGGAACACGTACAGCAGCCAACCTCCAAAGATCTGCAGAAACCCTCGAACCCCTAAACCCTAAACCGCTTTGTAGGATGAGGACGTGTCGTTTCAAGTGAGCTTGATGAGTCTTGGCCACATCGAGAAGCGCAGCCCAGAAAATTTCCGCTATCGGAGGATAGGATTTGGGGTTCGGGCCGTGGGGGGTTTAGATTGTTGAGGAGTTTAAGGGGTTTGGCTTTGGGGTTCAGGCCTTTTGGGGGTTTAGATTGTTTTAGGATGCCAGGTGGGTTTGGCTTTCGGGTGTCGGGGTTCAGTCTGTATGGTTCAGGGGGTAGGCGGTTCGTGTTGTCAGGTGGCGCAGGGGTTACTAGGTCCTGTGCTTGAGGGTAGGGCCGTAGAGATGTTTGGGCTTTGAGCCGCCTGACGCGTTGGCTCGAAGGAGAAACGGGGTGGGTTAAGGGTTGAGAGCGTTCTGGACGTTTTCCAGTTGCTATGCAGAGCGGTCGCGGATCCCGTCCCTACCTACCCACCCACCCACTCCGAAGAACTGACCCCTACCATCCAAGGAATGGCGCCCACGCCACCATCACCTGCAAACCAGCCGACAAGCTGCAGAGTCTGCATGGTCGAATTTCTGAAGCTTTGGAGGCCCCGTTGTGGTGCTGCTGAGGCAGCAGTAGAAGTTGCAACAGCAGTAGAAGTCGGAGTACGAGTAGCAGCAGAAGTAGCAGTAGTCGTAGGAGTCGGAGTGGGAGTGGGAGTAGGTGCAGGTGAAGGTGTAGCAGCAGCAGGAGTAGCAGTAGAAATAGCAGTAGCAGTAGCAGTAGCAGTAGGAGTAGTAGCAGTAGTAGCAGTAGTAGCAGTAGTCGTTGTAGTAGTAGTGGTAGTAGTAGTAGTAGTCGTCGTCGTCGTCGTCGTCGTACTCGTAGCAGTAGTTGTAGTTGTAGTTGTAGTAGTAGTGGCAGCAGTAGTAGTAGTAGTAGTAGTAGGAGGAGGAGTAGTAGCAGCAGTCGTCGTCTTAGCAGAAGTAGTAGTAATAGTAGTGGTAGTAGTAGCAGTAGTAGCAGTAGTAGTAGTAGTAGTAGTAGTAGTAGTAGTAGTCGTAGTCGTAGCCGTAGCCGTAGCCGTAGTCGTAGTCGTAGTCGTGGTCGTAGTAGTAGCAGTAGTAGTAGTAGTAGTAGTAGTAGTAGTAGGAGTAGGAGTAGGAGTAGGAGTAGTAGTAATAGTAGTACTAGTAGTAGTAGTAGTAGTAGTAGTAGTAGTAGTAGGAGTTAGGAGTAGCAGTAGCAGTAGCAGCAGTAGTAGTAGTAGTCGTCGTCGTCGTCGTCGTAGTCGTAGCAGTAGTTGTAGTTGTAGTTGTAGTAGTAGTGGCAGTAGTAGTA